TCGATTCATTAAATGTAGATACCGGGCGCTAGATTGTTCATCGGTTGGATGAAAGGCAAGCGAAACCAACCTTCGCACCTTTCACCGTGGATGAATCATTCGCGATGCACATCTGAAATACGAAATTTAAATTTGCCTTAATCTCTGCTGTCAACGTTATCGCGTGTCTACAGGCAGAGATCTGTCCTTGGTATCTTTCGGCGTGCAAGGTTCTATGACCCACGTGTTGTACGTTCGAACGCACGTGGCTTACGGAAACTGTAACGTAGCTGAATAGATCGTGTAAACAGCGCTCTAACGTGGTGTATGCAACTCGTTGAAGAATTCATAGGCAAAGGGGTTAAACGTTAAAGCGGTTCTCAGAGGTCGTGGTCATGTGTACGCGTACAGAGAGGAGACCCTTTCTCTATAGGAGAATCGCGGTGGCCCAATTATCTTGTCCGCTATGAATTACTTACTTACAGCCTCGTGGCTGCACACTGGCATCTTTAGCGAGGTCTCCTAAGATGAAACTTTCCACGTACCTCGCCTTAATTCCATCAACGACGTCTACCCGACGCTGGTTAGGGTAATAAAAAAGGGAGAAAATTGCGGGGCAGAATTTGCGGCGCTTAAGAGCGTTGTTCATTGGGAAATTTCAATGCAACCGTGAGGCGAGGTAAAAAGTTTCTTCGGGCCAGCTTTTGCACTCTTGAAAAAAACAGAGTAATATCGTTCGTAAGCTGTGTAGTAGAAGGCTTGGGAAATTAAGTCGGGAATTAGCGGTTTCATGAAACGCAACCTTGGCGTGGCCGAAACTAATGAACGATAAGTAAAATCGAGGCGGAGCTTGGAAACAAATGGACGGAATAACCGGTGGTTCGTTGTTTCGTCGGTGTTTCTAGTTGGGAGGGGGGGTGGTGGTGGTGGTGGTGGTGGTGGTGGTATATGGTTCTCGAGAAAGTTGGTTCGATGTAGAAACTAAGTCATTACAGAGCATAAGCATTGTTCTTGCTGTTAATCTCTTTATCAGCACGTGGCTGGCAGCCGGCCAATCGACTTTCTCCTTGACTCCCGGGACGATCTACGACATCTTCACCTTGTTTTCATTCTACTCGTTTCTACTCCAACGTTTCCGCCCGGTACGCGAATCAAACGTAAGCATTCGCTTCTCTATCGCGATAACAATACGACGACTGTGAAATTTGTATACGTATGCGCGTATGTATACAAATATTCTCGTCTATTTCGCTTGGTTTATGTTCTTGAATACGAAAGATGATATTAACGAATTGTGTAGCAGAGTTGAGTTACAAGCACAGCTCTTTATTTTGATATAATAAGAGTATAATCCATGAAAACTTTATACGGATAAAATATTTTCATATATTTCGTTTGATTCGCGAATACGAAAAATAATACGAATGGACCTTTTAGTATTTGCCGAGAAATGTGATTCTTCGCTTCTCGATTGTAATTACGATTCCGATTATAAAGACCATAAATAATATATACAAGGTTATATACGTGATAGGTGTTTTCATATATGAATTTCGTTTCCTCTGTATTCTAAAATAACAAGGCCAATAATAACGAACTTTTTAATACTTCAACAGGAAATATATTCCTGAATACTCGCATCTGTATAATCCTAATACATATTCATATCTTATAATGTATATTTTACAGCGCGAATTAATCCTTGGAATAAACCGAATTCTCGTAAAATATAAAATTTTCTTTGCAATTACGATCGTATATGAAAAACGCTCAGAACACCCTGCGTATTGTTGTTCGATCGTAAAACAACGAGGACAACATGAACAACCTCGATCGCGCCGACAGTTCCGGAAATGAAATCACGGCGGCGAATCATCGGAGCTATAGATCTCGCGAAAATTGATCAGAAAACGAGAGCGTCGACGATGGTATTTTTTTCGTGGCGGTCAGGCGTGATCCATTGAGCGTGAAACCACGTGGTTGGCCAGCGGCCAACGCCGAGTTATGTTTATAACAACGTATTACGGATTCTACGTGGGATTCACCGCGCTTCGTAACTGCGATACTATGCAGCCTATATGACGATGCGACATACCGTCAGAAATCTTGGACCGCGTTCCCGCCGATAGCTTCCTCTTCTCCTTTTCCTCTTCTTCCGTTTTTTTCCGTTCTCAACGAGATTTTACTTGGACGCATGCCCGCGCCGACTCTTTTTACATCTTATTCCTCTTGTTTCTCGAGGATATTTGGAAACGTTTCACCGATCGGCTCGATCTACTCCGTTAGAGTTTCTTGTTCAACGTTGCACGCAGCAGCAGACAGACCGACGCGTTTTTAAACGAGGTTATCACGACGGTCGATCGAATCGATTTTTTCACAGTGAAGAAGAAAGGACGACGATCGATTCGGTATTTTGAGAGCGTAACGTTTAATTCGTCGACCCGGTGTATTCTTTTCCGAATAATCCGCGCAATGCGCTTAAAGTTTACTCGAGCGAATCGGAGCGTTAATCCTATTAGAGAAGAGATTATTCTCTTAATGTCTCACCTTTCCAATACTTGGCACAGTCTGCGCCGATTCTCCGAACACCTGGAAAGTTGCAAATTGTCGACGACTCTCGTTCTTTCTTTCGTTCGTTCGTTCGTTTTGATAGGAAATCCCAACTTTTTCGATTTTTCCGCTGAAACTTTATCGACGCTCGCAATAAAAATTGACGCGGAAGTCACGATGGAATTTAATCAACACGCCCCTGTTTGCAACACTTCAAAAATAGATTGGCGAAACAACAATGCGACGAGAAACTCGAATTGAAATTTAAACGATATTTACCGACTGCCTTTCGGCACAGAAGACCAGTTAATTGGGGCCGCTCCCAACGATGAATAACGAATGTTAATTTCTACCAGAAGAAACTCGTCTATTCAATTATACGGCCCTTTTCACGACCTCTTTGTAAGTCTTTTCATGTTAGTTTTTCCAGCTGAAGCTTTCTCTCTCTCTCCCTCTCTCTCTCTCTCTTTCTCACTATTTCTCCGAATCCACTACACTGGATTATTTTCCGTTAAAACGTAATGACTCGAGACCGTACAATTTTCTTCCGTTACGATTAAACGTTATTTCCATGCAGCGTAGTATAGCCGCCAGCTTAAATCGTACGTTATAAATATGAAACACTCCCTTAAGCCATTATCGGAGCAACCCTTGTACAGTTTATCATGGAAAATTTGCATGTGCTCAAAATTATAATGCTCTTTTGTTTCTCTACAGCGTTATCATTCATCGTGCTAAATTTCATTCTGTTTTAGTAACACCTGTCATCAGATTGTGAATCTTTATGCGTTTATAAGAAATACGAATGCTCAAGAATATGTATAATATGCAAAAACGAGTGAAATATGCAACAGTACTCGTTATAATATTCAGATAAGAATAACGTCTTAAATACCTTAATCGAAATAAAAGTAAAAATTTCTTTTAATAATCTTTTATGGAAGAATCGTTAACGCAAATTTCCGAACACGTTTCAAAGAAATGTTTGTTTCTTTAACACCTACGATCAATTTTTCACGACAATTAGCAAAAGTCCAAGCCGTGTCAAAATCTCCTAAAATAAGGAACCGCGTGTGTCGTCGAACTTGAAGAATAAAGTCACTCCACGTACATTTCCATCCTTTTCCATATCAAGTACCATATTTTGGAACATAGTTTCACAAAGTGAGATTCACAAGCGTTTCGTTCCATTCGCATCGTCAGATTTTTCGCTAGTAAAATTCCATTGTGACATTCATAACGGTAGTTTATATACGTACCATGTATTTCCACTATTTACAATACTCGATATCGTGGAGATATATCGGGCTATATTTCATACGTGCCCAAGTTTCGCTTAAATCGTGTTTAAAGCAACCAAGCACCGACACGCTATTTCTCTATAATCGATGGAAGCGATATTTCGTTTGCGCTTTAAGGGTTTACGTAGGATATGCAACACCTACCAGTCCCTAAAGTGTCTCGCCGTACTATTTCCGTCGCTTTCGGTGCTGTCGGAAAAAGACGCGTGGACGTGTATTAATAGATTGCCCGAGTACGCATCCCCAGTGACATCGCGCACCATCGAAATTCAGCCAAAATCGCAGCGTGAATTTCTCTTATGCAATCGATTCGACCAGTACGAAGAGCAACGATATGCGCAAGGCGAATGGAAGCTGCTCGCGAACTCACAACCACGCTCGTGTACAATCGTCGTGATTGAATCGCAGATTTTTCGAAGAATCTTGTTTCCATGCAAACCACTGCCAGATTTTTCTCCGAGCTTTTCTTTTTCTCCTTTATATATCGCATTTGCTATTCCGAATACTTACGAGCGTTTAGAACGTCCATAGGTATACTGACAGTAATAAATTTAGACTCAGTTCTACAGCTGTAGCTATACTGATTTTTTTTACTGATTTTATCAGTTAGCTGTAGCAGTTAATTTCGATAAATTATCGCCAAAAGAATTTTTTACCAATAAAAAATAATTTTTTAATACTCTCGACTTTTATGGTACACATGTCGCGTTTCCATACTTTTACTGGTTATGTTACAGTATCGTGGAAATATCTCGAACCATCTATTATAATGGCGATTGAATATGCTTTTAAAAAAGATCTCCATGTGTCTGCATATATGGAATATAACGTTAAAGTAATTCCTTTATAACGCTACCTGTTCATGGCTTCTCGTGATTCATAGAATTCTTTGAAAATGTTGTAGTAAATAGAGTCCTGATCCGTGTGTCATACACTACATACATATGTATATATAGAATTAAAGTAACATCACGTGTTCTTTTATTCATTTTTAAAAGCGAAATATTTCCATTTATGGTAGACGATTTCACATTTTTCTACAGTGCTATATATCGAAGAAAGGTAGAACATTTCCATCTATGGTAGATGGTCTAACATTTTTCCACAGCATCGTATGTAGTAAATACGTTGTCGGTATTTTGCTAAAACGTTTGATTACGTTTGTTTCAGAATCACGAGTATGGCGGGTATGGAGACGAACCACGACGTAAAAGGTACGTTACATAAAATTCATATTAATTGAACCTTGAAATTTCTGCTTTTTCATGATAACGTAGATGTTTCAAATGATCGGGGAATTTGCATTCGGATAAATGGATCAGAGTATAATCGTTTTGAACAATATCTTAATTACAATACCGCGTATATACACTCGTTCTCTTTGTCCTCATTCAACAATTGATCTCATAATGTAGCGTTGCGTTGACCCATTACCTTATCTAACAATCTGTTTTGTTCGAGAATAAGGTCCCACTATAGCGAAACTAGCACTCTAATTAAGAGCGTAGCGTAGAAAGACAATATCGTACGATATAGAAAAATGACAAAGTCGATCGGCCAGTCTAAGGCTCGAACAGAAGCGAAATATGATAAATTTTACTCACGACGAAGCAGGAGTTATTATTTTGTCGAAAGTTTCGAAATCGGTTCGTATGATTCATCGAGTCACATTGGACCGGGGCGAAACGGCAAAATGTGTCTCTTCGCCGAGTTCTCTCGTTAGAACATCTCATTGGCGAATGAAAGTTAACGCAAGTTCCATAGAGAGGCGAATATCGCTTGATAGCGAATTCTTGCCGCTCTGAATCACGCTTAACGCTCGAGTTAACTTCTTATTATTAGACTTGGCCCGTGTCGACGCATCGGATCCGTCTGAAATTTCGGTAACCGTCTGCAACGTTTTAATTAATTTCATCATACGCATCTTTTCGTCCTTATCACTGATCAATTCCACGCTGGTCAGTCGTCGGTTTGTTCGTTTAAATCTTTGAGTATGTAGTAAGTCGAAACAAAAAGTGCTAGAAAATACTTCGACGTTAACATTGTGCGGATAATTTCGCATGGTTGCAACGATTAATTTACATCGACGGAGCTTCAACTAGGACAATACAAAGCAATTTATCGAATCGATACGAAGATAACTGTAGAAAAGCACGATAAACTTTTCTTTTTATCTTTTTTGTTTGGTTCTTTGATTTTAATGCTATTTTGTACTAAAAAGATTATGGAGAGAATAGAACAATTTTTACCAACGTGGGATTGATCGACGACGAACTGAATTTTCAAACTGTTCTCCTTAAAAATGTAGATAATGTGATTCGTGTTATTTCCCTGCAGTTTTTCCATACTAAAAGTTCTTAATTCGTTGTATGCTTCTCACTCGGTATTGAACGTTTAGATTTTAGAATCTAAAACACATAAAGCGTCAAGTTTCGAATCACTTGTTATAAACGACGTGTAACTATATAAACGAGCAAAATCGATCCACAATCGTTTTGTTTATGCTGAAACGTTTCACCTACGCGTAGTTATAAAAAGAGATTCATGCATTTTTTCACGCAAACGAAGCTTTGCGTACATTTACATACTCCTAGAAGCGTTAAGGCCAGAATTATTATAGCGTTAGAATAGAAAGGAACGAGGACCAAGGGAACGAATCTATCCGATAGGGCGACCAATTTTTTTACTCCGCGTTTTGTCGTCTCTTTTCTACGTTTGCGTTCTACTCGAAGGTTTTTCGAGGAACGAAGTTTAATCGTTTAGAGTAGAAGCAACAGATTCGCCAGAGAATTGGTCACTTTGAATTGCAGAACGGAAACACCAGAGATGTCTCCTCTCTCTCTCTCTCTCTCTCTCTCTGTTCTTTTTCTTCTCGTGGAAAAATGGATAGATGGTTGAATTTCCAATTGGTTGCAAAGAGAGGCAAAAATGGGAGAGATAGAAGTGGAGAGAGAGAGAAAGGAAGGAGAGGGAATCTATTGATGTCAGGCATGAAAAATGTATAGCCAGCTATCCTTCAATAGCCGATTCCCCTTCGTTGTATCGCGCTGAATCTCGGAAGAAAATTACCGGATTGCGATTTTTCTTTCGTTTCTCTTTCCGGTTAATCGAATATTCGTGCTTGAATCCTTCGACACGCGCAACTTGTGATTTAATAAAAAAATTTCGCCAACTGTGCACCGGCTGATGCAATTTGACTTGAATTCAACGTGTCGAGCCCCTCACACCCTTCTTCATCTCTGGAAATGCGGAATTTTTCGTTGCTACCGTGACTCGCTAAGGGTTCGCGTGGCGCGATACAAAGCCGAGATATATCGAGTTAGCGTTTCCAACGATTAAATTGTTACCATTACTCAGCGAGTTTATCGTAAAGAAAAATTGCCACGTGTAGGTTTAACGATTAATAAAACACGTGGAACGAACGTTGATCGCACGTTGTGTTTTTTCTTTTTCAGAGAAGACAATAATAAACCGAACCACGTTCTCCTCTTTACAATTATCAACCCAGTCTACCCCATCACTGTGGTAAGTGTTTTTTTTAAAAAAAAGTTTCGTGTTATCTTTATACTCGATGGAGAAGATATACTAGCGAGGTTATAGATCGAAAGATTAATCGTCGATATTCCTTAAACACGTTTATTTAAAAATATGAGTGAATTTTCTCGGTTGCGAAGGTTAATCGAGAATCGACGTATGAAATGCGCGTATCGCTTGAAAAATAGCACTTTGTATATTTCTATAATAGGATCTGCTTTCCAGATTGTATACTAGACGTCATTTATTAAACGTATGTACTATAAAGAATGAAATAATTATCAATAGACACGATCCTGATGAAGATCTCGAGCATCTACGTCGATATATTTCACATTATTGTTTCAACTCTTGGAACATATAAACTTTAACATCTGGTCGATTTTACAACCTCGCTATATCTGCTCTATCGATGGTACTTACGCGTATAGACGGTATTTGTTCGATATACCTATAAATTCATACGCGGTGCCTTTGAACTTTCGAACATATTGTATTTTCTGTGCGTGATTCATCGACGCGAATGTTTGTAAATGCGATCATCGGATTCTCTGCGCGTATTTCGCATACGCCTGTTAAAACGGATCAAAAGGACGAGCAAGACGCTTGTTTCGATGACTCTTGACACGACCTACGCTGGACGATCGTGACCACTAGACAATTACGTTATCGATGACGTGCGAGAGAAAGAGTTGTAAAACAAAGATCGAAAGAGGAGAAACGATAGGGAGGGGGAAAGGTGAAGCTAAAGCAGAAATGGAAAAGTATTGGAAACGAATGGCAGGACAAAAGTTGTTGGCACAACGCGAGCACCATACGTTTCGCAGGCCGTCGCACTGCATTTTATTTCTGTTTTGCGCCAATAATAGATGAGCCCTGTCGCTGTTTCTGTCTCACGAATGGTCGATGCCTGTGCGATCTGGCATTGTTCGCACTCCATCCATTTACGAGTCTTCGCATAGCTCTCCGGTCACAATGCTTATTTTCTTTTCTTTTTTCTTCCTTTTACTTTTTGTCGTTATCTACACGGCAGACGCACTAATTAAAGAGTCTCCAAACCGAAAGCTTTTACGCGCCGCGTTCTCTTTGCAAAGCATCCTTCTCGTTTCCTTTTCGTTCACCGTCTCTTCGACGTTTCTACTTGTATTTCCGACACGGTCTATCTGTCTCGCTTGTTTCTCCTAGGATAACCAACAATTCTATTTCAATTATCCATAAACTGTACGAGGAATGTTAGAAAGTCGATGCGATACTTCGATACTCGTGAAAACGAGTAACAAAGTCTCGGCCAACGAACCAGAAGCTACATCAATCAATTTCGTAAGTACGTAGAAAAGTACGGAAAAATGTGGCGAACATTGTTGCAAATAGTTTCTTTTCTAAACTTATCCTAGAACTTTCTGTCGTCTGTGTTATCTTCTTATTCGTCTTTAAATGAAACGCTCTGTATATTACACTTCTGCCTCTGACTTCTCGCATAAATATCCATCTTAAAATTATAATCTTGCCATATCTCGATCGGTCTAACCATAGACTCGACTCGCGTCGATTTATACGCACTTATGTAGTTCTATTATGGAGGCCAGGAAGGCGGTTGCCACGTAGGGTAGCTTTCTCTCCGCCACGAATCACCCTTTGTCATGATTCACAGCGATGTGATTTAATGACACGTAACGCGTAAGCGGAGAGACACGCGAGAGACACTCATCGGAAGATATCAGACCGAACGGTTTCTCCAATATAAGTTTTCGGTTTCGTAATTTGATTAAAAACTTCTCCTCGAGGGAAAACATTGTCCATTGGCGAGAAACTAAAAGAGAGGAACGAAGTTCCTCGATTCTTCTCCGTACTCGTTATTTTTCCCACGTTGCTTCCGCTTTTCATAATCCCGCTTGAATACGAATTCGAACGAAGAAAGTTAGAGAGGATTTCATTTTTCATATCCTGGACGTTGGATAATAGGTATCTACGTATAAGTCTGTTGGAGAAGTAAAACGTTTAGGATCGTTTATTAAAATCTTCCTCGGCGTTTCGTTGGACCGAGTCAGCAATACGGAAAAGCAACAGCACGGAGCAGCTTTCGAAAGCTGATATCTCTAACGTTGAAATATTATGGCATTTCGCGATATCTTATCGATATTTTCTCAAGGTGTAGCTCGAACGTCGAACCGTTCGATTTCTTGCATTTGGTTTAACCGAGATATGCAAATTGTTCTCGATGACGTGGAAACCTTTGGCGGTAGGTTCGGAGCTGATAAACGTCATGTTCGAAACGAAGCTCGATAGGTTGCCTTCTAAACATCTCTGGTTTCACGAGTTTGTAGCAATTTGCTCTATTTCGTTGTTAGTCGCATGATTCGATAAACAAGCTCGTATCGTACGAAAGAAAACTTACAAAGAAGCGAATACATTGCGCCTGCAAGCCACGTTCTATTCATCACTGTAACGCGAGGAATTTATTGGAACTGGGATATAATGCACGCTAAATGTTCGTCTTTAAGTCTGTTGCACACTTGGGCGCACGTGTGTCGGCTCTGCGCAAACACCAGGCGTTTGTCGGATAGTGCACTTGGAATTTCTCGGTGTGCTCACGCGACGACTCACCTCGTATTTTCGGCACAATTAGAACGAATAAGCCGATACATCATCGTATTTGCGCGGAATTTAGCTAAACGCTCGGAATTTGGCTGAGTTGCGTGTTAAGCCTATTACACGCTCGACGGATGTAACGGACGAGTAAAATGAATCAACCGGATAATATATGCGTTTCACGCTCTTGAACGTATACGTAACTTTTTAGAGCTCGCTGTAGAGAGGTCTAGGTGACAAATTTTGAAGGCACGTATGGAATAAGCCGTTGCCAGGTTTTCGCCGTCGCTCAAAAGAACGACACCATCAATCACGCGGCTCACGGTGCGTGTATACGAATCGAATACAAATTCGCGAACGTGCGTTCGAGATAATATACGAGGCCGATTTCCCGAGTACGTATCTAGTCGCGTACAGTAGCGTCCATGGTTGAGCGAGTTTCTAAATTAATACATTCGACGGTAGCAGGAGTTAATACAGCAACTTTAAGCTCAAATTTTTAAATTCTACTTCTTCGATCTAAATTTACAAATTTCAAACTTTCAAATTCAAATTTTTAACGCTGTCTGCTGTAATAATATCGATACGTTATTGTATATCACAAATAGATTTATGCGATCGTCGCTGCAATTTCAGATTCCTATCTTTCGACTACATACATTTTCTATACAACTACATACGAAATTTTCGAGCAAGTAAACTTCATTAACTTGACCAATTTTACTATCTTGTCGCGTCGCGTAGACTATTATAACGTCTGGATATACTACGTGCACACATACCTTGTACTTTATACGTGGCATCAAGTAGGCGGAAAAGCAGCCTACCGGTCGTTGTACATAGCCATGAATTTTCGCGCGCTTTAATTCTGGCCATAATTCATCCACCGGCCCCTGTTAGAGTCAGCGGATTAAGATTAACACCTTTGCCGTCTAGTACCAGCTACTCTCGCCTTTTTGCTCTCTTTTTTTTTTCTCTTCCCTCCCTCTTTCTATAGCGTGCTTTTATTTCAAATACCGAACTACGTTACTTCGAGCTGGTTTAGAATGTTATTTTAGAGTGACGGCGCTTCGTCGAATTTATACGCGGCTGTTTGCTACTCGCGCATCACCGATATCTCCCTGGATAGGTCCAATGAAAATATTTTAATTGGCGGAGCCACGATCCACCGTCGCTTGGCTAAATATGAGTTTGTCGATAAAATCCGCGTTACTCCACTAACTGTACTCTAAACCGTGCTACAGGGAAGAAACGATAAGATCTTTCTCGAGAAAACCTCATTCGCAACCGCCGTATTTTAACGTTGACCGATCGCGACACGGTATCTAATAACAGCCATTGGCTATCGTCGCCCTATTTGTTACAGAGATCCATTCAATGAGCTGTAGCATCCTAACTGCGGCTATATACATTTTCTCGTGCGTTAAGTTACGTCAGGTTAGCTATATTACCCGAATCGTTAAATTCGTTCTCCGCAACGTTCAATTTATCCCGCCATAATTTGCGTCGCGAAATGAAGTTTCAAGCGGGGAACCGGCCGGTATATCCGAAGTTGCGGGCCTCTACTTCGTGCCAAAGTGACACGAAGCTAGAATTATATTCCCATACGCGGCGGCAAGACGTTCTACGCGGTTTTCGTACTGTAGATTGTGCGAGCATCTGGTACAACCGGCTGACGTGTTTTAATGTCCACGACCTACTTCCACCTTTGCCTGCTCACCTTTTGGGAGAAAGGTGATCGTACAGAATGCCATTTCTTTCGCGTTTACCGCCGATTTCTAACTAACAACTGAAACTACTAAGACTCGTTGGCATCTGACGATATAGGAACTACGTCGTTTCCTGTCTCATTGAAAACCATCGAGTTTCGCTGTTGAAATGTCGCGTTAAAATAAAAAAAAGGAAAAGAACCCTGGGAAAGGGACGTGGAATAAAATTCGAATCACTAACGGCCCTTTGACGTTCGTTTCGACTATGTTGGATGGTAGCTTTATAATACAGTTTTATAATGGTGTTTTGATTTTGGTTGAAATGGAACTAACCGCGTGTTATGGTGCCATTTCCCACTTCACGTTTATTAGGAAATTCAAAATCTTTTATTCAAACATGGCGCGTTTTAATAGCGTATTCCACTCTTCCTTTCCTGTGAATTTTACTCTTTCCTGTGAAAAAGGTTTCTTTTATTTATGCGAAGAGTAAAATGCAATGTTTATAAAAGGTATTTGCATACCATTGTATCTACTATAGTATTTACGTACATTAAGATTCTAGTACATTAAGTTTCGTTTCATCTAGTAGTAACGTTGTATGACATAAAGACTTACTATGTTCTGCGTAGGATTCATGAAAAAAAATGAAGAAAAAAAAGAGAACACTGTATGCCATCAAATTAATATCAGCGT